TTTAGGAAGTTCGAATTTCAATCATCAAGATCAAAAAGTCATAACTAACAAATAAAATATATTCATAATTTGAATACTCAAATCAATTTTCGTTTTCATACAAAAAAATGTTTAATAAGTAATAGTAACGATTCAGTAAGTTAATTGCAGTAGTTTTGAAGGTACAACTCTACAATAAAGAATGAACTATCAAAATTTTTACGGTCCACTTCTACAGACAATATTAACCGTTTAATATTTCATAAATGTTTATTATGTTTTTATAAGTTATTTGTGAAGAATACAAATAACTTATCAAACAATCAAAGTAGTAATAATAATAATAATAATAATAAAATTAGAGACTTTTTAAGTAACTGACCAATTTCATTTTTCGATCTTAAATGACATTCCACTAACTTGATGAAATGCAGTACCAGTATGCTGCGACATTGTGTAAATTGAAAATTAGTGAAGGAGAAATAATTCAACTGAATACAAAATTAAGGTGTAGACAACTAATGAGTTGTTTATCTCTAATGGTCGAAAATTGATTAATAAACTGTATTCAATTAATGAGCTATCTCCGATGAATATAAAATTAAGATCTCCACTAATTATTATATATAAAATTAAATATTATTTTTGGTTCTAATTCTGATTTTTGAACTAAAATTGAACCAAAACCAAAAGTTTCTCGGTTCAAAGAACCAAAACCATTAACATTTCTGATAGAACCAAATCGAGCTGCTTGGTATGGTTCGGTTCGGTTCGGTTCTAGTTTGATTTTATCTAGTCTGGACATTTTGTCCACCGTTATTCATTAGGGGGCAGGAGCAAAAAAAAAAAAAAAAAAAAAATTTAAACGAGAGCAAAGAAGGAGGGGTGAATCATTTACATCTGTAAAAATAATCAGCAGTAAAAAGAATTTCAAATTATTTCGTGGGTTCTTATCAAGTCTCTCTCATCTCAACTTTTCCTTTTTCTTTAATTACCGGAAAAAAGCAGTAAAACGTACACTCATGAATTTAACTTTTTATGAAGCAACTACACAAAGAAATCAATGGAATGTCTTTTTCTGCATTATAATGAAACCTAGTATCGAAGGGCAACCTAATCAAATATATCCAAGCGGCAAAATCAACCACTTGTCAGTTGATTCTAATAACGTTGTACCAACTGATGCTGCCCAGTGCCCACAAATAATTTTACTCAGGACAAAAAAAAAAAAGGTTGAAAACTGATTCTTTCATTCTCGTCAAAAGGGAATAATGCTCGTGCAATCAGCTCAAATTGTAACGCAAAAGTCAAACAACAATATGCCTTCCATCCTAGAGTCTGTTTGGGAGTGATTTTGAAAATTAATTTTTTAATCGTTAGATAAAAAGTGGAATCCATCTGTGAAAGAAGAAGTCAAATATGACAATTGAAATAGTGAAATAATGGTCAAAAAATCAATTTTTTGGAAGAAAAAATCACAACCAAACAGGCTCCTATTCTAACCAGAAAAATCACTTTTATAAAATTAATAAAATGAGTCCAAAAGCAGATTTTAAGTCTCAAAAGCAATGTCAAACGAACCTTATTCTTAAATTAAATTTTAAATCTGGGCCAAATGTGTATCGCTCTTGCGTAGCCCTAATTTTGTAAATGTTTGGCTATGCTCAAAATTATATTTAATTTTGATTATTTTGAAATAGTTAAAATTTATTTTGATTAGTATATTTTTCCAATTATTCGAACATCTAAATTTGTTGTCCTCTATCGATCAAATTTGCAAATTGTATGTTAAGATACGGCCAAGGAATGGTTCTTGCTCAACTCACAAGCTAACATGTAATATTGTTTGTCTTCTTGAAGGTTTTTCGCTTTTCTTTATAATCCTTTTATAATTGAAGCCAAACAAGTACTTGATTAAGCTAATTGTCTCGAGATTAGTGGTAAAATGTTATTTTCCTATTATCACTAGAAATAATCCAACCACTACAACTTCCTGCATGATGTATGGTTTTAGTACATGCTTTAAATATTTCCTCATCAAGCACGGTTATGAAATGCTATCGGTGATGCCCCAAAATTTAAGTCAATAAAATTTGGGGCGTTATAGAAACAATCTTGGCCACAATTGGATTCCACTAAATAGTGCAGGTGAGCAGCTAATACCACAAAATTGGGTGCGAGTAGGATCTAGTTATCCCAGGTTGTAAGCTACTCTTTCATCCACTAGTAGAGATGGACATGGTTCCATATGGTTCTCGTTCTAAGAAAACCAAACCGAACCAATGATTTTTTTGATAATGGAACCAAATAGTTTTTTTAAAGATATGAAATCAAACTGGACCGAACCGTTTGGTTCTGATTTGGTTCTAATTCCATCTCTTAAATTTTTAGATTTGCATCATATAAATTAGTAATGTATACCTAAATGAGAAAATAAACATCAAACATTTAGGAAGTTCAAATTTCAATCATCGAGATCAAAAAAGTCATAACTAACAAATAAAATATATTCATATTTTAAATACTCAAATCAGTTTTCGTTTTCATACAAAAAAATGTTTAATAAGTAATAGTAACGATTTACTAAATTAATTGCAGTAGTTTTGAAGGTACACCTCTACAATAAGGAATGAATTATCAAAATTTTTACGATCCACTTCTATAGGCAATATTAACCATTTAATATTTCATAAATGTTCATTATGTTTTCCTCTATTTGTGAAGAACACAATTAACTTATCAAACAATCAAGGTAATAATAATAATAATAATAATAAAATTAGAGACTTTTTAAGTAACTGACCAATTTCATTTTTCAATCTTAAATGATACTTCACTGATTTGATAAAATGTAGTACCAGTATACTGCGACGTTGTGTAAATTGAAAATGAGTGAAGGAGAAATAATTCAACTGAATACAAAATTAGGGTGTAAACAACTAATGAGTTGTTTGCCTCTAATGATCGAAAATTGATTAATAAACTATATTCAATTAATGAGCTATCTCAAATAAATATAAAATTAAGATATCCACTAATTATTATATATAAAATTAAATATTAAGTTTGGTTCTGTTTCTGATTTTTGAACTAGAATTGAACCAAAACCAAAATCAAATGGTTCTCGGTTCAAAGAACCAAAACTATTAATATTCTGATAGAATCAAATCGAACCACTTGGTTTGGTTCGATTTGGTTCGGTTCAGTTCTAATTTGGTTTTGTTTTGGTCTGGACATTTTGTCCACCGTTATTCATTGGGGGCAGGAGATCACAGACCAACCCAACCCAACCCACCCATCCAACAAAAAATTAAAAAAAAAAAATTAATTGAGAGCAAAGAAGGAGGGGTAAATCATTTACACCTGTAAAAATAATCAGCAGTAAAAAGAATTTCAAATTATTTCGTGGATTCTTATCAAGTCTCTCTCATCTCAACTTTTCCTTTTTCTTTAATTACCGAAAAAAAGCTGGAAAACGTACAATCATGAATTTAACTTTTTATGAAACAGCTACACAAAGAAATCAATAGAATATCTTTGTCCGTATTATAATGAAACCTAGTATCGAAGGGCAACCTAAGCGAATTTATCCAAGCGGCAAAATCAACTACTGGTCAGTTGATTCTAATAACGTTGTACCAACTGATGCTGCCCACTGCCCACAAATAATTTTACTCAGGACAAAATAAGTTGAAAACTGATTCTTTCATTCTCGTCAAAAAGGGCATAATGCTCGCGCAATCAGCTCAAATTGTAAGTCAAAAGTCAAACAACAATATGACTTCCATCCTAATCTAAATAGAAAAATCACTTTATAAAATTAATTAATGAGTCTAAAAGCAGATTTTAAGTCACAAAAGTCATCTCAAACGAACCATATTCTTAAATTTAATTTTAAGCTGGGCCAAATTTAAAGGTTAAACCCTAACTTTAAGGGTCCTCCACCACCCCTTCCCTGGAATATCGTGAGGGAGGTAAATCGCAGGTTATACCTTCAAGGGTACAGGGTGGAAGGCTGCTTGTACACTTGCACTTACCCAAGAGCCAAATCTATATTTCAGGATTCGAACCCTTGACGCAGCAGCCTCAAGCAAAGCTGGGCCAAACTTGCATAGCTCTTGCGTAGCCCTAATTTTGAAAATGTTTGGCTATGCTCAAAAGTATATTTAGTTTTGATTATTTTGAAATAATTAAAATTTATTTTGATTAGTATATTTTTCCAATTATTCGAACATCTAAATTTGTTGTCCTCTATCGATCAAGTTTGCAAATTGTATGTTAAGGTACGGTTAAGAAATGGTTCTTGCTCAGCTCATGAGCTAACGTGTAATATTGTTTGTCTTCTAGAAGTTTGTTCTCGTTTCTTTATAATCCTTTTATAATTGAAGTCAAACAAGGACTTGATTAGGTTTAGTGGTGAAGTGTTCTTTTCCTATTATCACTAGAAATAATCCAACCACTACGACTTCCTGCATGATGTATGGGTTTAGTACATGCTTTAAAGAATACCTTCATTTATTTTATTTTATAATGAGCCTTCGCATATTTATTGCTAAGGCATGGGCATTGATCTATTTGGAAATCCATTGATTGTAATCAAACAAACATTGCATCTCTAAATATAACTTGAAATTCAGTTTATAGGCATGTAATCTTTGTATTCACATTTGCTACATATAAGGATTAATGGTGAATTCAAGAATTCAAATGAGACGGGATAGATTCAAATGAGCACGGATGATCACTAAAAGAAATAAAAATATTTTCGACAGAGCCAGCAAAGGGGCTGCTGGGCTCTTCGAGTGATGGATTCGCCCCTGATAAAGATCCTACTATTGAGTGCTATACCTGAACCGTATTTTTAAATCGATAAGTGCTATTTATGTTAATTTCCTTTTTATTTTTGGGGGCATTATGGAAGCCCCAAAAGGCACAAATAGGCCTGCCCAAGAATGAATCAATCATATCTCCCTTTATATAAACTCAAAAAAAATTGTTGATACTTCAACTGGGAAAATCAGTGGCAACCATGCCCCAAACAGTGTGTGGACAAGAAAGCTTCCTCTCTGTTAAGACTTAAAAAAATTTCTCAGCCATTAAAAAAAAATGCTTGATTGAGCTCTAAATTTTTATAAAATCAGAGTTTACAGAAATGGCAGCCACTGCTGGAGGATCCATTGCTGTTTCGAGCTTTCCATCTTCTTCATTCGGCCATAAATCCAGGCCGCACTCTAGCCTTCCACGGGTATTCACGACTAATTTTGTATATATGCACATGTACACATAGCTTTCGATGTTACTTTTTTCATTTGTAATCTATTAGCATCAAGTGGCAATTGAGGAGGAACTCTCTTAATGTAATTAACTAGCTTGACTCTCAAACCGTTCAAGTTTGAGAGTAGGAACTCATGATTCTCACATTCAAATTCTTGGATAGTTGCTGGTGAATGGTGGCCATGAATTCTGCTCACCCTGTATTCACATTTTCACCTTTTTTGCGTAAAACACCCTAATGTGGTGCGCGAAAATATCGAATTTTGATATAAAGAAACTTTTGTCTACGTGAAACAGGCGATTAAACTAGTCAATCCAAGGCAGCGAAATATAGCCTGCTCGGCAGTTCAAGAATCACCTACATCCACAGGTGGTTTTCTTAGTGAATCTGTGACATTACGTACCAGTAATGTTACAAATAAATGGTGTCTGTTTAGATAGAAGTGACCTTATCTTCCATATGTTTATAACTGTAAAACTAGTAGCTGCTGAAACAAAGGAGAAAAAGGAGAAGCCAGATGAAGCAGCAGCACCCGCGAAGCCAAAGCCGAAGGCTGCAGCCAAAGCTCCAGCCAAGGCTTTGCCTGAGTTGATGGAAGAGGATGTTATCCCTACACTCGAAGCCACTCTACAAGCTCAAGATGATATCTCAGAACTCGAACTTTCTTTTAATGATAACAAGGTCAGCTCTATATATGGGATCCATACAATAAACGCGTACACCATTAGGGAAGAAACAAACTTATTTATCTAAATCAGTGTTTTCAACATGCCTTCTGAAGTGTGAGATTGAGATCACCACCTCTTTTTGTTCTAGTGATGCGTTAAGTCAGTACCTCGTGGAAAAGCTTAAATTTTAAAGTTCAGCTCCTTCAACGAGAAAAGTCAATAAAACCAAGTATATTTTGCTGATTTGTAATTCTTGAATGAAACTATATGGGCAGTTGGAAGGTTCATTTCTTAAGAAGGGCAACCCTTACTCATTTTGGGCATTTTTCCCTGATGGAAATCTCACAGGTATGTCTAATAGTTGTAGAATTAGACCATGTTTAACTTGTTATACATGTGATTGCTTGTTAGCTAAACACAATAGTTTTCTGGTGACAGGTCCCAAAGGTTTCTCTCTGTCTTCATATGGGACAGAAGTGAGCACTGTTGAGCCATTTCTAGTTGATGAGAAAAAACCAACAGCCAAACATGTTGTATTCTGGGTTGAAAAGCGTTTGGCTGCTCAAGGAATTATCCCTGTGTGGAATGAATGACAATTCTCTGAGTAACAATACCTCAACTTTTTCGTTTTTGTTGATGAGGATCTAGCATCTTGTAAATGAAATTATTTTTTATATTATTTGCATAAAAAAAATTGATTTAATTTAGGAATATTCGCCTAATTCTATATTTTCAGCTAATATAGATCATTGGAGCAAAATACAGCCTACACATACCAACCAACCAAAAGAAATTCAAAAATATAAAAGATATCATGGTATATGCAGCCTAAGTAAATAGTAAAACCTCCAACTTACTTTTACCTGACAATTATGTACAGAACTAACAACCGATTCACCCAACAAAATAAAATATAAAAAGGCTCTTAAGAGATAAACATTTCATAGGAAATTCAACTGTGACTGGACTAACTAAGCAGTTTATTTCGCTACACATATATGTAAAAGGTGCCAACTAAAGGGAAGCAGTCAGAAGCATCATTACTCTCTAAAGGAAGGAGAACCTCTCAAGATTGATTTGGCATTGGCATCAGCATAGACGTTTGACGAAGAATAGAATCAGCAAGCTCTTCATTCAGTTTCACAGGAAATGGTGGCATCTGCTTTGGGAGTGCCGCCTTTGCCTCGATCCTAAAATTGGCATATTCTTTGTTATAATCTGTTATTATGCATATCTAATCTTGTGCCATGTATATCTTCATATTGATGAGAGAGCAAAGAGATATGATACTATGTATAGTTCAGGATTTCTGCATGCATCTCAATATGTTTCCTGTTGATTTGTGTGTTTGGTAGGGGTGGTGGGGTGTTGATGAGTACAAATGATTTCGGATCTCAAATGCAAGTATAGGCTTTGTTCATTCATTTTTGCATAAACTATCAAATACAGACTGAAAAATTAAGAAGCTGCAAAAGGACCTTCAGTTATTTGTGTTACCTTCCTCAAATAGTTGTTCACATATTCTCTACTAAAGATTCCCGAAAAAAAGAGGAGAAAAAAAAGTCAAAGAAGGAAAGTAAGAAACAGAACAGGGTAAGTTTATTGTCTTTTTTCAGTAGCTGGAGGTTAAGGTTGTACTCTTATTTTATGATTATAATAAAATATGCCACCATATGTGGTTTTAATATTGGGGAGAAAAAAAGATACAAAAGGGGAAATCTGGCAGGCCATTTGAAAATCTTCCATCGTCTAGAGAAAAGAAAAAAGTAGCAAACCTGTTGGTGAACTTCGGCTACAATTCTCAGTCACCAAAACAAAATAAATAAAATTAAGAATGAAGAAAGAAATTAGTCTTACATCTATTGAAAACATGCAAACATTCAGGAATGACCAAAGTAGTACTTGAATAAAATGGAAAGATAAAGTCAATGGTAATGAGCTGGAGCAAAGGCGAGAAAGTATTTTGTACAAGCAGGAAATTAGTGCATCTATTCTTTGCTAAAGATCAAGTGATACCAGAAACAGATGTCTAAAAAAACACAACACATAAGAGCAGACTGTGTACGTACTCTTTTAACATAGTTAGAATATTGTTTCGAGTTTGGCAGAAGAGGTTGATGTTCTCGTGTATCTGCATGCAAGTAGAACAAGAAAAATATGTCAATATCATTGGGTCACCGCTAGAAACAATGCTTTGCTGCCATGCTGACAATGAAGCCAATAAATCGAAGTGATTTTAACTTGGTTGTATCTATTTGGCCTGTGCATTGAGTTTATAGAGCAGATGGTAATGCATACAATGGAAAAGAACCCTAGTTAGAGATCCAATATACATAGTTCCTGGACAGAAAATGAGTTTTACTGTTTTACAGACTGATATACCCATATTATGGTAGAATCTTTTTATTTCCTCAGTCAGAAATCAAATAATCCTACAGACCTTCATTTTCTGAACACTTTTTGGTGTCGTCCTAACCTGACAGAATCTAACTAGTTGTACACATTAATGTCTATGCTGCAACATATAATATATGCATAGTCTGGAAGCCTTTAATCTTCAATAAAAAATGACAAAGATTGGGTTTGTTCAGATGTCCTAGCACATAAAATTAACCCTCTTTCAGTATAAATTAATCTCGGAATGTACAATTGATCTATCAATGTAATTATTGGTCCAATTATTCTGTTGAAATGCATTGAGCCAAGTAAATCACCAAAATAAATTATTCTGCTACCAGTAGATCAATGAATATTAGAATAGCAGCTCAGACATCTATCAGAGACTGATGGAAGAAGAATATAGGGGTTCTCATGTCAAGTAGTCGTTAGGTTGAAGCACATAATAGCACTCTGCATACTTTTGCTTGGTACAAATTTTTTACAGCAGTTCAAAAACTAAATATAGATAACTACAAATTACCTTGAGAGCAGAAAAGTTGGCAGAAATTTGATCGAAGGCTTGAGCATTTTGTTCAAGAAGCTGTCCAGTCGCTCCACCAATGTCTGCAATTAACAAATTTTATAGATCCTTTAAATATATAACCAAGGAACTGAGGAAGTATGTCCATGAAAAGTAAAAGGAAAAGTAGATATGACGTCAATGGCCCTGCCCAATAATCTCACAGATAGAGTGTGGAGGTAATTCCTCTTCAATGATTTACATCTAAGATATGCCCTGTATTCTTTCACAAACTTCTAATAGAGATCTAGTCAAGATAACATTATGAAAATGATAAAATTGCCCAAGCGTGCAAAAGTTCCATGTTGAACATCCACTTCCCCTTAAAAGATCATTCACACCATAAAAGAAACGTTATTAATAACCTTAACCTCTACTATAAAACATTCTCTAATTGCAGCTTTGAATTTGAAATCTGACATAGAACTCACAGATTGTTTTGTTTACCAAGGTAATCTTGGATGAGAGCCCCAAGGCTAGAGAAAGAGGGGCAATTTGCAAGAAAGTGGGGAGGATTTCTCGTAACATACAAAGCCTGACATGAAATCAAGCCTGCAATTTTATGCTAATTACCCTAATATCTATATCATTATTCCAATCGATTGTGAAGAGGGAGTTGCACACTTTTATGGATGTTGTGAGAAATATATAGATCTTGGGAGAACCATACCTCAAAAGCTAGCAATTGAAGTTAAAAAGCCCCTTAAGTCTATATAAATCACACACCGAAAGCCCATACTTTCAATGTATGATTCAAGTCTCATACCTTGTAATGGGAACCATAACAATCCACCACACTCCACCATCCCCGCGCCCACGTCGGATTGGCTTTGCACTAGTCTATGACTGGTCCTGGACGAACACTGCTATGCCGGCGTCACCATCTTTGCCACTTGATTGCAACCGGGAGACATGGTGCTTGCTCCGATATCATTGATATAGATCTTGGGAGAGTCATACCTCAAAAGCTAGCTATTGAAGTTGAAAAGTCCAAGTATATATAAATCATGCACCGAAAGTTCATACTTTCGATGTGGAATTCAAGTCGCTTATCTTGCAATGGAACCATAGTAACCATACCATAGAGAAATAAATTATTGATATTTAGAAATCATAATCTTGAGATGCTTGAACAAAAATAAAACAAGATTCTGAGTTGACACACTGGGGTTGATTAGGCTCTGGAACTAAGTAAAATGGTAAACAAGCCCCTGATCAATCCTTGCAAATATATTATTTCCTTTCTCGGTAATAGAGAGAGAGAGAGAGTGAGAGCGACCTTTGTATGAGATTCCATCGTCATTGTCGATTGACAGCACTGGCTGAGTATGGGGAAAGCCATTGGAACGATTTGCAAATTGAGAAGATCTTGGCACAGAAGCAGTAACCTTTTCCTGAGAATCTCAAAAATAACGATATAAATTATTGAAAGGTAATGTCTTTTGAAGTAAATGAAAACAGAAATGACCGATAGCAGAAGCTTGGAACTATTCCGAGTATCAGAACTATTAGGTGATGCAACAGAAAATTAGACTAACAGCAGTTTGAAATATTGATGCTGCAGGTGCCTGAGGCTCTTTTTTTTTATAGAGAAAGAAGTGACTCATAGCATACACAAAAACAACAAGGAAAGATGATTGAATGCGATAATTATCAACCTTTTTGTCTTTGTTTTTCCTCAATGAATTTTGATCGTCTTTCCTCCGCTTTCCATACCCTTTCTTCTGTGAAACAGCCAACAGATTGTGTCAGAATTGCCACAAGTTAACTGAAAATATATAATAAAACAACCAGAGAGCAGGCTTCCTATTAACTTCATTCTAGGCTCTCTAGCTCTTATTATACGTCACTGTGCAAATTACATATTCTCAATGATCAAATTTGCTTCTAATCCTTTCATTCTCTCAGTTTTGTCTCTCCATTTTCCAAAAATACTAACTATATATCTCGTCAATCACTCTCACCATTTGTAATACAGCTCATCACTTCAAATGTGTGAAAGTCAAAATGTTTGAGTTGACTTCACGTTATATTAACTGAAATCACAGAATATATTTTTTCACATACAATTTCACGCCAGCCAAGCATCCTTTACTTGGAATTGGAGATTCATTACCACCATCACCAAGTTCCATGAAAAACCAATAATTGCATCCACGCACTAAAACTACTATTGTTGCCAAACTTTATACATTAGGAACAATATTTCAGGAACTAGCATGAAGTATTTGTATTTTCTATATCACTTGCCTGCCTGTGTGCATCTGATGAGACTGTTCCTTTTTGCTTATTATTTTTGTGCATATCAGTGATCCCTTAAATGTGTGATCCAAAGTTTTTTGAAATTTTGCGTTAGAAGTATAAATTCATTCAAGAAATGAAAACTCAAAATATTTGTAGTCTTCAAATGTCCTGATGCTGCGTTTCTAAATAAGTAAAAACTTTCAAAGAAAAGAAAATTTGGGTGCAGGAACTGCTTTGCTGTTGCTGGAACCCATTTACTTTCATCCAGGGGACAGAGACCTAAATTGACAGCATTGATTCCATTGAAGAAAGACAGCATTGCCTGTGGCTATACAAACAGCCATAGACCTTCACAGTATTCGTGATGGTATTTACAAGAAGGAACATTTTGAAAATATGGAGACATAAGTTCTAATTTTGCAGATGGTCTTCTTTACATGTTAGTATTACTGACCATGGGAAAGAACCTTGTAATCAGTTATTCTTGATCTAGAGTTGAATTTAGATTCTGATATCAGAAATTCTTTGCTTCTTCTGAGATCATGTTGCTCATGATAATAGCTGGGCCAAATGTTATGAAGCCAACTGATGTTTAACAGTCTATGAAGCAATACATGGTACTAAAAGAGAAGTTCAATTAAATGTGGGGTTATGGGAACCACATTTAATTGGAACTACCACGTGGGGCCAGGTAGACTCGTGTTAAATCACGAGTTGGCTGCATAGCATTACTCGATTCAAATGTCATAGAACAAAAAGAAAAAAGATATATAACCACCTACCAAGCTATACAGACTATCGACATCTAAAAACCTTATGGACATGCATTCATATTATGCGGAACATCACGAACTGTCTATGTAACCAAGAGTTGCATGTAATCAAACCAACCAAAAACAAAGAGCTCACAGTCATCCATTTGCAGCACAATGCCACATCACGAACTGTCTTATCATTTAACTGCTGAGCAATTTTAGCATATCGAACTATGATAGTGTCTGAGCTGTATCTGCAAAAGTTAAATTGTTTAATCAGATCAAATCAAAGTGTATCGTCCATGCATGAGCAACAAGATGCAACACAGAAATAATTCCACACAGAAACAGTCAATCTAAATTGGCACTGAATATGTCAAAAGTAATATATACTATGAGAATTCAGATTGCAGCATTGGTTTCACAAAGACCAATGCCTTCCAAAAGTGATTGGAGATGAGAGGTAACGTACTAAAGGTTAATGATCTGAACTGAAACATTTCTAGTTTAACTCAAAACATTCTTGCATTATGAAGGAAACGTTCTCCATCTAGGGAATGTCGGCATTATTTACGAGTCTTGGATATCCCTGTCATGATCACAGTGATATAGTAATTTAAAATCTTGATCCGTTTAACTTTTCCTTTTTAGTTCATAAAATTCAGCTTGGTCATATCTGCATTCGATATTTTCTGAAGTTGAAAAGTGTAGAATCCCAAATAATTTTAAATACCTTAGTGGCACTAAGACATGAATATTGAATGGCTAAAATATACTTCAAATTTTTAGTCTCATTTGAGACCCACTTGCGACATAGAAAACATTCGATTTGAAAAATGATATCTAAAGAAAAGTTGTAGCTCTTTGAGTTAGCTTTCCAACGCACTTTGAATTACCTCAATCGGATATTCGGAGAAGAAGTTATGATAGAAATACTAAAAACTGTACAGTATCAACCGAAGTACGCGAAATATGAAAAGTCAAATTCCTACACGATTTTCTAGCACCTTCTTAAACCTATAACTCCCACATAGATGGCACCCGTATTAATGAGTATTAGGCCCTTCACTTGCCCTTAAGTTGTGAGATTTTCACCTATAAATAGGTCCCAATGCATACACATTTTTAACACCAAGACAAAAGTTTCTAAGCATAAAAGAGAGAGTTTTCAAGTCTAGAAAAAAGAGAAAGGAGAGGGAGGAAAATTAGTTTTTTCTAGAAGTTTTGGTGCTATCAAGAAGTGTTTTCTAAATATCAAATTCTCAACGGAGTGTTTTTTTTTTTAAACATCAAACAAGTGCATTTTTCAACAAGGTTCAAAACATCAATTAAGGTAGGTAGAGGTGCAAAGTGTTAAATCGTGTTAAGTTATAAGTTTCTAGCAAATGAAAATTTATGTTAATGTTTGTATGTTTAATGGTACCTCCGGGTACGGCATGTACTTCCGATCGAGGCGTCGTGTTAAGTCATGACTCTACGTGTTTGGGATTCTACCGAAAATCCGACTATGAAAAGGTTTCTAAAGTTATAGTTTTAAAATGTATAGCTTGATCACGAATGTATCAATAATATCTATTGAGTTTTTTTAATTCACGGGTTTAACTCTTTCTCTACAAATTGATATGATTCTACCTTGAACTTAGATGATGGAAAAGATGGAGAGTGGTGCAACAAGCCCATGAAAAACCCGGTGAACAAGTTATTTGGATCTATTTTTGTGAACGTTTTCAATGTTATTTCTTTAAAGTATTTGAATAACGCTGAACGCGAGAACAAGTTGTGTTTTCTTTAAATAAATTACGTTCCGTTATTTTTTTTATTCAGTGTTTTATTTAAAATATTCGAAAGGTTGTTAAAATTATCATTGTAAAAATTAAGCTTCCGCTAAAACATATTCTCCTATGATTAAACCACCGGTTAGTTAAGTAAAGTAAGTAGCGTTCCGATCCACAAGGAGTCGGGGCGTTATAGCGTAGTATCAGAACACGGTTTAGCCGGTTCCGTAGATCAAGTATGTTTTTTTAAAAAAAAAAAAAAAAGGGTTTAACCGATTCTATAGACCAAGTTTTTTTTTTTTTTTTTTTTTTTAAAAATGAAAAAGTCTAAGATATTCTGATGAGGACATCCAATTTAATTAATTTTAGCAATTTTAATTATTTTAGTTGGAACTTAGGTTATTTTAATTTTATGGACTTTTGTATTGGGCTTGGCCCTAGGTTTGCATTATTTTCTAGTATTTAAACCTATTTTACATTGTTATTTGGAATGATGAATTTGATGAAATAAAGAGTTGGTTTTGCAGCCGTTTCCCCTCTCTTCTTCCCTCTCTGCCTTCCCTCTCGGCTCCCCCTTCTCCTTCCCCTTTCTCCTTCTTCATTATTTGTAATTTGCACTACATCAAATTGGTATCAGAGCCAAAAATCCAACAGTAACAGAATCCCACAACCAATTACCCCACGGCTGAAATTCGTTCAGTTAATCCCCGGTCAATTATTCCCCCCCTCTGAAACCGCCAATTTCTCCTATTTCATATACACTCACATACACACAACACAACCCACGGCAGACAAGGACGACCAGTTTCCCCCACGACCGCCAATACACAACCCTCAAGATCGCGACTTTCACACTCGCGAGCCGCAACCAATACAAACCCCAACCAAAAGAAAGCCCGTCATGCAGAACTTAAAGAGCCGAGAAGTCTGACCAGAATTTTTCCGTCCACCGTCGCCCTCCAACTACCACCCCGCAGCTTACACAAAGTCCTCATAACCCACCGAAATCACAGCAACCAAAAAAAAAAAAAAAAAAAAAAAAAAAAAAAGAGCAAAAAAAAAAAAAAAAGGTATCGTGAATTTTAAATTTTCTGACATCATTTACAGGTTCATTTTAGTTGACTGTTCAGTACCGCACCTCGACGAGCACGGAATTTTCTATCTTGGCATCTCAGGGCTTAGTAGTTCAGAACGTGGAGACATTCGACGCTAGGACGACTCAAACTAACAGTACTCAGGGAGTTCCTGATCCTATTTATTATTAGTTGACGCTATTTCTTTATTTTAGAATTGCATCAATTAATTCGTTGTGTGCTGGCCATTTGATAATACTGCCTTAAACCTATTCGATTATATTTCACGAACTAAATTCCATTACTCAATCGTTTACCCCACGTGACTAGGCCTAGTATTTGGACATTTGCTTTTCTATTGTATTAGCATTAGTAGTATTAGCTTGCGATCGAGCCATAAGTAACCCCAAACTTTAAATTGACAAAATAAATAAATGAATAAATAATAATACTAATAATTTCAATAACTAATTCTTCGATTGGCACTAGTTGATTGTTGATTATTGATCTCAGTAGTGCACTTTACGTAGTCGTGTTACCGTGTATGCAATTGCGTAGTGGTCGCGTTACTGCATCTAGCTCTAGTAACCTTACCATGGACCCCGCCCAAATTGAGGCCCTCACCAAACAGCTTGCACAATTACAAAATCAACTAACAGCTGTCCAAACTGAGGTAGCCGCTAC